TGTAATCGGAAATGAATATTGCGAGGTCTATAAATATCATTGTGACATAGAGTCGTCTGTTGCTTATACTGTCAAATAATTTCATGTCATTATTTAAAGGCTGATTATTCACATGCTTCACTTATATGGTAAAACTTAATAAATAAATAATTTTTGAGAATGTATCTATTTCAGGTTTTTAAGCACTTGCATGTGCCAAATATTGGGAATTAGGGATACAAGGATGGGTAAGACCTGGTCTCAGCTCTTGGGAAATTTCAGTGATTCTATTTTGATTCTATTTGAGAGGCATGAGTAGGATCACTAACTATAGCTATTTCTAAACTGTCCTGCCATGTGAAATTTGTGAGATGGGTTTACTTAGAGTAGGCAATTGGGGAAAAAATGAGTTAAGTATTGCTTTTTGGATTATAAGTAAATTGGTCATGGTTGTTTTGTTTTTTGGTTCCAAGAATTTAACCCAGAAGTTCTTAACCACTTAGCCACATCCCCAGCCCTTTTTTAAATTGTTTTTTATTGAGACAGGGTCTCTTTAGGTTGCTAAGTTGCTGAGGCTAGCTTTGAATTTGGGATCCTCCAGCCTCAGCCTCACTAGCTGCTATGATTACAGGTGAGTCCTACCATGTTGGGCAGTTTGGGGTTTGTTTTAGAGTAAATTTTGGTTTCTTTAAATCGACAGTATTCATTTTTCCAGAATTTCTAATATCTTGGATTTTACACTAGATATATTAGTTGTTTAACACATAATTTACTCAGTGCCTGCTTTATGCAATACTGCTCCAGAGTGCTATGGATATAGCAGTTAACAAAATAGTCAAAAATCTCTACTCTAGTTAAGTGTTTACATTTTAATTAGAGGAGGAAGACAGTAAGTCAATAAATGAAATACATAACATATCAATTTGTGTTAAGTACTTTTGGAAAAAATAACAAAGGGAAAGGGGATAGGAATTTCAGGAAGGTAGAAATGGAGTTTGTGGTGTTTTTTACATTTTTTATTGGTGCATTATAGTTGTACATAATGGTGGGATTTGTTCTTATATGGAGTTTGCGGTTTTAAATTTGGTGATTGGGAATGCTGAATTGAGAAGGTATTATTTGGGAAGAGAACTGAAAGAGGTGGTGGGAGCAAATGCAAAGGGTCTTGAGGTGGGAGAGCCTGTCATTTTTTAAGTATACCAAGCCTCTACTATAGGTGAAGTGAAGAGGGATAAAGAAGAGATCAAAGAGAATACGAAGGCCAGATAATGTGGGAATTCATAATGACTTTGACTTTGACTCTGAGTGAAATTGGAAGCTACTGGAAGCCTGTCAGCCTAAGATCACTGTGGCAGCAGTGTGGGAAATAGGACAAAGGCAAAAACAGTAGGCCAAAGATGAGATTATTAACTAATCAAGTTACTGGTACCAAGGTAGATGATACCAGTAACATGTTGAAATAGTTTTTAGATACACTTTGAAGATAGAGCCAGGATTGACCTACAGAGGTGAATTGAGAGAACAATAGTGAATGACTTCAAAGATTTTCTCATTAAGCAACTGACAAGATGAAATTGCAATTTACTAAACTAGAGAAGACTGCAGAAGGACCAGGCTTATGGGAAAACTCGAGTTCAATTTTGGATACATTAATTTGGGTGAATATTAGGTTATCTAAATGGAGACGTTCTCCCGTTTTATTTGTGATGTGATTTAGAATAAAGGTTTTAGTTTGGCAACAACAATGGCAGTGTTTTTGTGTGGCCATCCCTGGCATTGTACAGTAAGTAATTACTACAGTGAATTGTGAGTTGAGGGATGCTCTGAAGAATAGTATATACAAATATCTGAAATAGAACAGGACTCTGTTTCTTTCACATTAATTTCCAACTAGAACCAGATTTTGATTCTTATAAAAGTTATTTTCATATTGATTTGAAAACTTCAAGAGAAATGAGAATTGAATACTTGCTCTAGTACATGTTGTAATATTACCTCTTAGAATCAGAAGGGATCTATTTCTCTATCAGTGAAGGAGATGATTAAAATGTTAAGATTTGTCTTTTACCTGAGGTCTGACAGATAATGCTGGGTGGTAAAGCTACTAGTCCACTATCATTTTAATTGATTTTTCTCTGCTGCCTGTTTAGGTTATTGTATCCACCTAACAGTTTACTTTTTTCTTTTTGGTACGGGGATTGAACTCAGGGGCACTGAATCACTGAGCCATATCCCCAGCCCTATTTTGTATTTTGTTTAGAGACACGGTCTCACTGAGTTGCTTAGTGCCTCACCATCGCTGAGGCAGGCTTTGAACTCATGATCCTCCTAAGCATCTGGGATTACTGGCGTGCGCCACTGCACCCGGCTCAGTTTGCTTTTCTTGTACTGAATTTTCAGCACTGTCCTATTACTCCTGTATGGTGTTTTACCATCCTCCGCTGCATATCCTTTACAAGATGATTATAGTCCTTAAGCTCTGTAACCCTTTGAAGTTAGAGGACTATAATATTTTGACTCAGCAATTCTTTGAAGTTCAGAAACATAATTTCTTCATTTCTTTTTACTTAGATAATTTTATTTTTTTGCAGTATTATACTTTGCCTCAGTACTGCAGTTTCCAGTCTAAGCTCTTATTTAATAAGTTAATCTTTTATCAATTATATATGCTTACAGTTATGCATATTACATAGATTTAATATGCATTGGTATTTAGCAGTGGGTACTGGTAAATGAAGTTCAGTTTGCTGTAAATACAAGTAGAAGACTTTGTTTCTGTGAGTGAAAAATAAGGAGTTATACTGACACCAAGCTTTTGTTTTTCATTTTTTATTGGTGCATTTTACTTGTTCATAATGGTGGAATTTGTTACATATTCTTATATGCACACAATATAAAAGTATATTTTGGTCAGTATCAATTCCAAGTATTTTTCCTTTCCCTCCTCTCTTTCCTCCCTATGGTCCCTTTCTTGTACTCTACTGATGTCCTTTTGATTTTCATGAGATTCTCCTAACCTTTCTTTCCCTTTTTCTTCTCCAGCTTCCCAAAACATAATCCTTGACCTGCTGATTTTGGCTTAACATAATGCAATTTAATTTCATTGTTATTGTAACAAGAATAGTTATGTATTAACACTGAAGATTTTGATAGAGGTTGACTTATTTTTCAAAAAAGAAAGAAAGGATCTCTGGCTTTTTTTTTTTTTTAGCATAGCGTTGGGTGTTGTTTTCTTCCACTCTTGTCTATTTGTAAACCCATTTTTTTGTTATTAAGAATTAATATTTAGGAGTAACTTAGTGATACCAGAAAATTTGGTGATTTTAAAATTTGATAAAACAATACGTTTAGATATTGAGTTTCTTTCTCAAACATTTACTTCTGCTGTGAAACAACTTTATATATAACTGAGATATACTATAAAAAGGGACAACCAAAAAATATGAGCTTTATCTTATCTTATTATCTCCGTTGATAGGTTGTTCATTTATTTTTTTTCCTACCAGTACTTAGGATTACAAGAAAATTAAGGTATATGAATGCTTTATGGGAACATTTTGGTAGATGGGTCAATAAATAGAATTAAAGATAGAATATAAGTCTTATGAGAGGGTTAATTGTTTTATACCTTTATTTACTTATTTTTTGTGGTGCTGAGGATCAAACCTAGTGCCACAAGCGTGCTAGGCAAGCATTCTACCGCTGAGTCAACCCCAGCCTACTATATCCAACTTTTAACAGGAGAGATCATGAGACAAAGGTGGTCTGTTAGATTAGCTTGTAAAGAAATAATGAAATAAAATCACATAAATGACTTGAGGATAGAAATAGTCATTAAATTTGTTTGACTAGGGCATGCATACAAAATAATTATGTAAGGCAAATAAATAGAGAAGTTAAGGGAATTTTTTTTAAGTTTATTCAGTTTGCTAGAGATTTTATTTTCCAATACTGTACTTTTTTCCCTTTTCCCCCCACCTGTATTTTATTGTCTTACTTTCTGTAGCCAGATTATTGCATTCCTTCACGAAAGGCCATTGTGTCTCAGACTTCATTTTAGAAGTTCATTTTTCATGGGCAATTTTAATTAAGTTAGTCTTTGCTAATATCTTTCATTTAAAAACTCATTTAGGTTTTAAAATATATCTTTTTTTAAAAAAATCAAAACAGATGCTTCATTTTTATTAGTTCTGTTGATTGTCATCTCTTTTAAGGGCAGAATCACCTTCATAAGCTTTAAATTACAAGGGCAGTGTCTGTGCTTCTTTGTTCACCACAGTTTCTTTAGCATCCATGTTATGTAGAAGTTGTTCAAAAACATTTGAACCGGCTGGAGAAATAAATTTGTTCTACTACTTTGACTTCCATGGAATTCATAGGACATATATTGGTTGCCCTACATACATTTTTGGCACGTTTAAAAAGTTGACTTATATCCAAAAAATTTAATTTAAATGTTTTTTTTCCTAGAAAATACTATAGTTTTTTTAATACATTTTTAAGTATATATAATATTTTATTGTATCTTTCTTTGGCTTATGGATTATTTTTCATAGGTAATTTTGTACCTCAGTTTTCTCAGAAATGAGGATTATAGTTTTAATTGAGGCTCTTGGCAGTTAAATTGATGTGCTAATTTTTATTTGTAGGTTGCTTGTTTTGAAGAGTGCCAATCTTAATTGATTTCATTTAGTGTTAAATTAGATACTTCATCCTTTACACAATTTGTATACAAAATAGCTATTTCATTTTCATTGATTAAAATTTTAATAAAAAATTCTTTTAAAAATATGAATGTAATTCAGTAATAGTAATACCAGTGGTAGACAGAAAATCCTAAATGGTTAATTCATCTTAGCTATGTATGCAGTGTTTGCCTTTGGTTAATCCAGTATGAAATACAACTGTATTTTTTTAAAGTGCATCACAGCTAAATATTTTTATCATATCATTCCTTTCCTCTCCCTTCCCTTAAACTTGCTCCCTTCTGTGCCCCCTGTGTACCCACCCATTCCCTGCAGTGTTCCCTGCTGGCTATGGTGGAGATTGATGTGCTGTGAATTGCATAATCACCTAAATGAGTACCAGAAGAATCTAAGAAACCCTGGCAACTGACTACTTGCTTTCATCAGGAATAGGGACCTTTTGTCTGAATTTCCTGCCCTCAGGTAATACTTCTATTCCCCATTCTTCTTTTTTCTTTCTGTAAATGCAAGCACTTACAATGCGCGCCCCCATCATAATGATACTTTTTTTTTAATATTTATTTTTTAGTTTTCGGAGGACCAACATCTTTTTTTGTATGTGGTGCTGAGGATCGAACCTGGACCGCACCGCTTGAGCCATATCCCCAGCCCCCCATAATGATAGTTTGAGAATTATTCTGATTTCACTTTATTTACTAGGTAGCTCTAAGCTCATGTAATCTTTTAGAAAAATGACTTCTCTAGGTTTGGTGAGCACTTAAAGCTGTAACCAGTTCTTTCTGATGTTGCAAGGGAGAATTTTATAATTTACAGCCAGTTATTTGGAAATAGTAATTAGTATTTGATCTACTATAATAGGTAAGGTTTCATGGTCTAATATAATTAGTGAGATCTGAAGGCTTTTTTGGTAATGAGGATGTTTTAAGCAATTCTCTCATTAATCATTGAAGGACTCAAGAGTTTATTTTGTGTGTTTAATATTAATTATAATCTTTATCATAGAGGTTGAAATAAGACAACAGTAGTGCAAATGGGATTAATTTTTGTGGAATGTAAGGGTTTCCCATCCTTTTTTTCTTCTGCCCTTCCCTGACCCCTTTAAAAATTCATTTCCAGGGAAAGCAATTTTTATAGTATAAAACCAAACTCAGGAAAATAGTGCTGAATTTCTTTTAACATGGGATTCAAAGAAAAACTCGAAACTCATATCATTGAACACTTATAATCCTTAGGAAATTAATCTACATAAATACTTTGAACCTTTTCTGAAAGTCTTGTAAATAAATTATTAATTAAAAACTAATGTTGGCTGTGGTGTAGCTCAGAGGCAGAGCACTTGTATAGCATATATGAGGCCCTAAGTTTGACCCCCAGCACTGTAAAATAAAAGTAATCATGAGTGAAATAATGCAACTCATTACATACTTATCCTAGGGGTAATGGAATGGTTGATAAACTTGTTGCCATATGCTAACTAGAAGTAGTACAATGACTTAAACATTGTTTTCCATTCTTGTGTGCCTAAATTCCATGCTATCATTTGGGAATCAGGATCTCAACCAAAATTGCCAAAGGAAAGATGCCAGGCAGATTCATTTTTTATTGATAATTAAAGTCTTGTTGCTTATAATGACACTGAGAGATAGTTCTTGTTTTGTATATATCCTCAGCAAATCCTCTGGGACAGTTGTTCATGAAGTATAGTAACAACTGTAATTCTTGGCTTTTTCTAGATAACACCTCCTTAACATATCTTTTTTGGCCATATTAGTACTGCATTTATTGAAAATGAGTTATGATTGTATTCCAAATTTAAGCTGTCACTGCAAGAGGGTCCCAAGAAGTTCTTGGAGAAGGGGGAACTCAACTCAGGACATGTGGGGTCCTTAACATATGTGACAGAAAAGAATTTCAGTATGCATGAGTCGTAGACACAAGTTTATGTAAGTAAAGAGATATACATTAAAAGTAGAATGTGGACTGGACTCAGTGGCACATGCCTGTAATCCCAGTGGCTTGGGAGGCTGAGAAAGGAAGATTGCAAGTTCAAATCCAGCCTCAGCAATTTAGCAAAGTCCTAAGCAATTTGGTGAGACCCTGTCTCAGAATAAAAAATGAAAAGGACTGGGGAATGTGGCTCAGTAGTTAAGTGCCCCTGGATTCAATCCCTGATACCAAAAATAAATAAATGAAAGGAGAATGGGAATGATGATTTGAGGGTTCTCAGGCTTTTTAAAAGGAAACTTGATGAGTGGTATGGGAAAATACGTGAGGATGACATCAGTCTGATCTTTCTTTTTTTTTTTCCCTAATATTTATTTTTTAGTATTTGGCGGAGACAACATCTTAGTTTGTATGTGGTGCTGAGGATCGAACCCGGGCCGCACGCATGCTAGGCGAGCGCGCTAACTCTTGAGCCACGTCCCCAGCCCCTGTCTGATCTTTTTTAGGATTCTCAGGCTGACGTGGTCTCCATTATTTTATTCAGTAGATCACATTGGAAAATCCCCTGAATTATAGATTTTTCAAATCTTGTATCTTTCTTAATCTACTTATTGGGGGGCGAATAGTATACAAAGTAATTTTTAAAAATGGGAGTATTTATGGTAACTTTAAGATTTACAGATTTTCCAGAAATTTGAGAGTGCAGGCCTGGGAGAAAGACTGGCTTGGGAATGACAGACCTAGAAAAGTATGCAGAAACTCAGATTAAAATTATATTTTCTTGTCTTTCTTTTATGTCTCCTTCCTACCTATGTTTTATTTCTTCTGTCCTACCCTAGAACCACAGCTATCTAGGTGTTTTTTCAAGTTGCCTACTAAATTTAACTTCTTTTTCTTTAGTTATGGTTTTAATTAGTCATGATTCTTTTTTATTTAAATAACTCCTTAATTTATGCTCTTATCTTGGATCTACTGTATCAGACTACTTGGCACAGATTTGAATCTCACTTGTCACTACCCAGATTTAATTTATTATTTCTTTTTCAGTTGTTGCAATTAAATCTTCTCATTTCCTTCTGGTCTCATACTTCCCTGTTCATATTTGTCACTCTTATCAGATAAATGTTCAAAAATGTGAATTTTATTTAATTTCTTGCTAAAAATCTTTTAATGACTCCTGTTTTAGCTTATCTTTAATTTTATTTGTAAAAGAAATTTTTTGTTGTTGTTGTTCCAGAGAATTCTAAAGATTGAACTTGAGTACATAAAATTTACAAAAATAGAGTTTTAGGGGCTGAGGTTGTGGCTTGGTGGTAGAGTGCTCACCTAGCACGTGGGAGACCCTGGGTTTGATCGTCAGCACCACATAAAAATAAATAAATAAAATAAACGTGTTGTGTCCAACTACAACTAAAAAGTAAATATTAAAAAAAATAGACTTCTAGTTGAACCAGTGTCAGGGGAGGTTATCTGGCTTATCCTTTCCTTTTTTATTTCTTTTCCTACCTGAGATGAACCATGAATCTCCTTAGGAGCATTGTGAGAGCAACATTGATACATAATATTAAACCCGTATTCTTTGTTATGAAAAATAAGAGTCTTTCTTCTTCATTTCTCAAGGCATGTAGTTTCTTTCCAAACTATCCAGTTCCTTATATTATATCTGGGCCCACTGAATGTTACTGTATAACCTTGAACATGCTATTGCTTCTGTCTGAAATGCTCTTTTCTCTGCCTTACTCTTAAAAACAGCTCAAATGCTGCCTCCTCTATAAAGCCCTCGAAAAGCAGTCTTCTTTACTATTAACAGAATTGATCACCCATTCCTTGTGCCTCCATTTTGTCCTGTTCTCATTTTTATTATAACATCAATCGTATGGTTCCTGGCACAGAGTAAGATTGTAATATACTGCAATGATTTGTTTATATACTTGTCTTTAAAAATAAACTGTGTGATCTTTGAAAAGCAGAAACTCTGTCTTAATGTTCTAAGTTTCTAAAGAGCTTAATGCTTTTTTTTTGTCATGAAGGATATATGTTTAGTTTTGTCAGGTCTTCTAACATTTCAACAAAATCTATGTATCCAGATTTTAATGTAGGTTTTACTCATTTATTTTTAGTGTTAGTAACAAATTAAGATGTTTTTTAAAACATACAGGCCAGGGGCTGGGGATGTGGCTCAAGTGGTAGCACGCTTGCCTAGCATGCGTCAGGCACTGAGTTCGATTCTCAGCACCACATAAATGTAAAATAAAGATATTGTGTCCACCTTAAAAAAAAAAAACTAAAAAAACAAATATTAAAAAAAAGAGGATGGGTTAGACTTAGACTTGACCTGTATCCATATCTGAGGCTGCTACTTTTTTTAAAAAACAAAAAAACAAAAACATACAGGTCAGACAAAAATATATCTGCAGGCAGAACATAGCTCATAGTCTGCCAGTTTAAAGAACTTTTCTGTTCTTTAAATGTTTATGTTGAAAAACTAGTTATATAGTTGATTGATTTTCCTTACACGCTTTCACAAAAACAATAAGCCGAACTCCGTGTAAATTGAGAACACTAAAAAAACCCAATAAAAATAGGTAAATTTTAAGTTATTGTGAGCACGCTTGATCCTTTATTCCGTGAACATTGTAGGTTTTATTTATTTTTAATATAAAGTCATCTTGTATGTAATAAGATTCACATTGACATTGAGAACTCCTTGAGGGTAAGAATTACCATATATTTCTACAATGCCTTTCTATATTTATAGAACATTTCTACAAATGCTTTCACTAAATGTTGAAATGAAAATTTATCAATGTAATAATAGAGTGGTAATTGATTCTAAGATACCTTTTAAATTGAAATTATAGTTTTGGTTATAGTCTTGGATGTGCCTTTGGGTGACCTTGAGCAGTTCACTTAATATCTCTAGCCTTCACATTCTCTACAATAAAATGAGACAGTTGGATCAAAAGAACATTTCAAGTTCTAAAATTCTAAAATCATATGATATTCTTTGCTAGTATGAAGGTTGCCTATGGTCCTATTCATTTTTTTTTACTTAATTTATAATTGTTTTTAATGTATTTATTAGGTGGCAAAATCAGTGCAGTATTTTCAAAAAGCCATAGTTCAGATACCTTACTTATTCCCTGGTATCTTATTAAAGTCCTTTCATTTATATTAAGAATGTGTATATATATACACACACACACACATGTATATGTAATATATATCTAAGTCACTTTATTGAAATTTAACTTATATGTAATAAATTGCAGATGCCTAAAGTATACAATTTGATGAAAATTCAACATGTATGGATTTGTGACACCATCACCACGTTAAGAAAATGAACATATTCACTCATCACCTGAAAAATTTCTTCGTGCCCCTTTGTAGTTCTTTTCCTTTGCTTTTGCCTTATCCCTGGCAACTCCTAGTCTACTATTCACTTATATCAGTTTGAATTTTGTAGTGTTAATTTGCATTTTAGGTAAAAGATTCATGTAGTGTATATTTTTTCT